CCTCCTCACTCCTTTCTCCTCTCTTAACTCACTCACTTGCTCTAACTCCTCACTCACTCTCTAACTCACTCACCCCACTACTCTTAACTCACTCACTTCACTCTCTCTCTAACTCACTCCTCACTCTCACCCACTACTCTTAACTCATTCTCCTCCTCTATCTCTCACCTCTAACTCACTCACCTACTACTCTAACTCCCCTCCTCTCTAACTCCTCCTCTCTCTCCTCACCCTTTCTCTTAACTCACTCCTCACTCCTCTAACTCACTCCCACTACTCTTAACTCACCTCTCTCTACACTCCTTTCTCTTAACACTCCTCTCCTAACTCCTCCTCGCTCTCTAACTCATCCTTCCTCTTAACCCTCACCCACTATTAGCTTTCACTCACTCATCCCTCCACTCACCCCTACTCTTAACTCACTCCTCCCTACTCTTAACTCACTCACTCCTCCCTCTTAACTCACTCACTCACCCTCTCTTCCTCACCCCACTATTAACTCCCTCCTCCTTTCAACTCTCCTCCTCACTCTCTCTCTACTCCTCCCTCTCTCACTCACTCACTCTTACTCACTCACCCTACTCTTAACTCACTCCTCCTTTCATCTCCTAACTCCACTCCTCTCTCTCTAACTCACCACCCTACTCACTCCTCACTTGCTCTCTAACTCCCTCCTTCCTCTCTTCCTCACCCTCTCACTCACTCCTCGCTCTCTCTCCTCCCTCACTCTCTAACTCCTCCCCTACTCTTAACTAATTCCTCCTCCTCCTCTCACCCTCTAACTCACTCACCCCTTTTCTCTTAGCTCCTCACTCTCTCCTCCTGCTCACTCCTCGACTCTTAACTCCTCCTCCTCACTCTCCTAACTCCTCACCCACTACTCTTAACTCACTCACTCCTCTCAAACTCCTTCACTCTCTAACTCCCACTCTTTTCTCTTAACTCACTCACCCACTACTCACCTAACTCACTCTCACTCCTCTCTACTCCTCTCCACTTTCAAACTCACTCAGTCACTACTCTTAACTCACTCACTCCTCCTCCTGCTCCTTTCCTCCCTCCTCTCTAACTCTCTCACCTACTCTTAACTCACTCCTTCCTCTCTAACTCACCTCACCCCTCACTCTTAACTCTCTAACTCAATCACTCACTCTCATTATAATTACCACACACACACACACACACACGTGCCATAATGATAAAGTCCCTCTGCCGTGTCATAACAAGTCCAAGGTGTCATAACTGTGCCATAATGATAAAAGTCCCCTCCTGTGTCTATAACAAAGCCCAAGGTGTCATAACTGTGCCATAATGATAAAGTCCCTCTGCCGTGTCATAACAAAGCCCAAGGTGTCATAACTGTGCCATAATGATAAAGTCCTCTGCCGTGTCATAACAAAGCCGAAAGGTGTCATAAGTGTGCCATAATGATAAAGTCCTCTGCCGTGTCATAACAAAGCCCAAGGTGTCATAAGTGTGCCATAATGATAATCCCTCTGCCGTGTCATAACAAAGTTCAGAGTGCCATAATGATAAAGTCCCTCTGCCGTGTCATAACAAAGTCCAAGTGCCATAATGATAAAATCCTACCGTGTCATAACAAAGCCCAAGGTGTCATAGCCAGTAAGTCCTCTCTGTGTCATAACAAAGTCCAAGGTGTCATAGCCATAAATCCCTCTCGTGTTATAACAGGCCAAGTGTCATAATGATAAAGTCCTCTGCCGTGTCATAACAAAGTCAGGTGCCATAATGATAAAAGTCCTCTGCCGTGTCATAACAAAGCCCAAGGTGTCATAAGTGTGCCATAATGATAAAGTCCCTCTGCCGTGTCATAACAAAGCCAGGTGCCATAAGTGTGCCATAATGATAAAGATCCTGCTGTGTCATAACAAAGCCAAGGTGTCATAAGTGTGCCATAATGATAAAGTCCTCTGCCGTGTCATAACAAAGCCCAGGTGTCATAACTGTGCCATAATGATAAAGTCCCTCTGCCGTGTCTAACAAAGCCCAAGGTGTCATAACTGTGCCATAATGATAGTCCCTCTGCCGTGTCATAACAAAGCCCAAGGTGTCATAACTGTGCCATAATGATAAAGTCCTCTGCCGTGTCATAACAAAGCCCAAGTGTCATCTTTGTGCCATAATGATAAAGTCCCTCTGCGTGTCATAACAAAGCCCAAGGTGTCATAACTGTGCCATAATAATAGTCCTCTCGTGTCATCAAAGCCGAAGGTGCCATAAGTGTGCCATAGTAAAGTCCTCTGCCGTGTCATAACAAGCCCAAGGTGTCATACTGTGCCATAATGATAAAGTCCCTCTGCCGTGTCATAACAAAGCCCAAGGTGTCATAACTGTGCCATAATGATAAAGTCCTCTGCGTGTCATAACAAAGCAGGTGTCATAACTTTTGCCATAATGATAAAGTCCCTCTGCCGTGTCATAACAAAGCCCAAGGTGTGCATAACTGTGCCATAATGATAAAGTCCCTCTGCCGTGTCTAACAAAGCCGAGGGTGCCATAAGTGTGCCATAATGATAAAGTCCTCTGCCGTCATAAAGCCCAAGGTGTCATAAGTGCCATAATGATAAAGTCCCTCTGCCGTGTCATAACAAAGCCCAAGGTGTCATAACTGTGCCATAATGATAAAGTCCCTCTGCCGTGTCATAACAAGCCCAAGGTGTCATAACTGTGCCATAATGATAAAGTCTCTGCCGTGTCATAACAAAGCCGAGGTGCCATAAGTGCCATAATGATAAAGTCTCTGCCGTGTCATAACAAAGCCCAAGGTGTCATAACTGTGCCATAATGATAAAGTCCCTCTGCCGTGTTATAACAAAGCCCAAGGTGTCATAACTGTGCCATAATGATAAAGTCCTCTACTGTGTTATAACAAAGCCCAAGGTGTCATAACTGTGCCATAATGATAAAAGTCCTCTGCCGTGTCATAACAAGCCCAAGGTGTCATAACTGTGCCATAATGATAAAGTCCCTCTGCCGTGTCTGCACAGGCCAGGTGTCATAACTGTGCCATAATGATAAAGTCCTCTGCCGTGTCATAACAAAGCCCAAGGTGTCATAACTGTGCCATAATGATAAAGTCCTCTGCCGTGTTATAACAAAGTCCAAGGTGTCATAAGTGTGCCATAATGATGACGTGTCATAACAAAGCCCAGGTGTCTAACTTGCCATAATGATAAAGTCCCTCTGTCGTTCATAACAAAGCCCAAGGTGTCATAACTGTGCCATAATGATAAAGTCCCTCTGCCGTGTTATAACAAAGTCCAAGGTGTCATAACTGTGCCATAATGATAAAGTCCCTCTGCCGTGTTATAACAAAGCCCAAGGTGTCATAACTGTGCCATAATGATAAAGTCCCTCTGCCGTGTTATAACAAAGTCCAAGGTGCCATAAGTGTGCCATAATGATAAAGTCCCTCTGCCGTGTCATAACAAAGCCCAAGGTGCCATAACTGTGCCATAATGATAAAGTCCCTCTGTCGTGTCTTAACAAAGCCAGTATAAGTGTGCCATAATAAAAGTCCTCTGCCGTGTCACTAACAAAAGCCCAAGGTGTCATAGCTTTGTGCCATAATGATAAAGTCCCTCTGCCGTGTCATAACAAAGCCCAAGGTGTCATAACTGTGCCATAATGATAAAGTCCCTCTGCCGTGTTATAACAAAGCCCAAGGTGTCATAACTGTGCCATAATGATAAAGTCCCTCTGCCGTGTTATAACAAAGCCCAAGGTGTCATAACTGTGCCATAATGATAAAGTCCCTCTGCCGTGTCATAACAAAGCCCAAGGTGTCATAACTGTGCCATAATGATAAAGTCCCTCTGCCGTGTTATAACAAAGCCAGGTGTCCTTCTTTGTTACCCATAATGATAATCCTCTGCCGTGTCATAATAAAGCCAAGGTGTCATAACTGTGTAATGATAAAGTCCTCTGCCGTGTTATGTAAAGCGAGTGTCATAACTGTGCCGCAATCATAAGAGTCCTCTGCCCGTGTCTGTAAAGCCAAGGTGTCATAACATAATGATAAGTCCACACTCTGCCGTGTTGTAGCAAAGCCCAAAGGTGTCATAACTGTGCCATAATGAAAGTCCTCTACCGTGTTATATAAGTAAGTGTCATGGTGTTACCTTAATGATAAAGTCCCTCTGCCGTGTTATAACAAAGCCCAAGGTGTCATAACTGTGCCATAATGATAAAGTCCCTCTGCCGTGTCATATATCTACAGCGTGTATTTGGTGTTACCTAAATGAACTGGCAGACTGACTGACTATACTTCCCTCACCTTCCCCTTTACCCGGAACGAGGCGAGACAATACGACTTTCATATAGGAAGAACGACCCTGAACGTGCCTCAGTGAACGGAACTGTACAGGTGGGGGTGGGGGTGGGGGTGGGGAGCTGAGTGAACAATATCTACAACAGACGGTGATGAATGTTGAATGTGGTTATGAATGTTGCATACGGGGATGAATGTTGAGTTCCGTTCTATTTTCCTGCCTACAATATCAAACTTAAATAATTGCATCACTGACTGAATGCTGTACAGTATTCATGGTTTGATAATGCTTTAATGGCACTGTAATGGTGTTTTAATGGGGCTTTCATGAACATATAATGGTGCTTTACAAGATACACAGGGCTATACGTGTGTGTGTGTGTGTGTGTGTGTGGCAGGGGTGTATCAGCCACGCCCACTTCAGTACGGGAGGTAACATCCTGCAACAGGAAGTAATACTCTTCCGGTGTCCTGGGAACGAGGATTTGATTCTCTCTCTCTCTCTCTCTCTCTCTCTGGATGAGGTGAATGCCTTGACAGTCTCATCTCCAAACTGTCATGAAACTCAGATACTGTACCGTATGCGTAAACATCTGCCTGTCAAGACCAGGGACCATGTCTATAAATAATAATAAATAATAATAATACGTACTAATGTTACTTTGAGGACCCCGACTTACTACTACTACTACTGCATAACGTCACATAC